ATCATCACTGTTCCATTAGCTCCTTTGTCACAGTCTTCAAGTAATACTAGTCTCTCAAATCTGGAGCTAAAAAAGTTTTAAAACATCCACAAGGCCCTACTGCCTTTTTATAACGACATTCTATTTCCTCTGACCTTTTACTGGCAAACACCCAAAGGGAAAGCTAGAATAAAAGCTGGTACAATTAAAGGAGCTCTAGAGGCTGGCCACAGACCCTCTCACTCATTGCTAACATGTTATATGACCTTAAAAAAATTATTTCGATCAATAAATTATATGCCTCCGTTTTCTAGTCAGTAAATAAAATGTTAGATAATACGATGTCAAAAGTTCTTCCATTACTTAACCAACAACCACTCCCCCCCAAAAAAGGTGAGTGTAGTGGCACTCAGAAGATATGATACAGCTTAATTACTATTATATCATAACCAGATAAAACATAATGATCTCCATGTAATGGAGATAACTTCATCAATAAACTATAGGTTAAAAATACACTACTAGAGTATATAGGACAGTTGTTGCTGCAAGAACACACAGACCACACAAATATATCTAATAGAAACTTTTAAAAATTAAAGCTTGGGGGACCAGCAGTTGGCGTAATGGCTATGTCACTGAACTCCCAGAGAGTCAACTGCAGTTTGAGTCCTGGACTCGGTGGCTTGAACTCATGCCAGGCATATGTGCATGCGTGCCCAAGATCCTGAGAGGAGAATGAAGGAGAAGGGATGGCGGCGTGGCCAACCCCCCTGGGGGGTGATTTCTCACTTTCAATCTCTCTGTCTCTCTCTGTCTTTCTGGTGAGTGCACGTGCTCTATAGCAAAAAAATCTCTCACCCCCCCCCAAAAAACATGTAAGACCTTGGGTTCTAACAAGCCAAATAGTCTCTACCAGAGCTACATCTTAATCTCAAGACATTTTTAGAATTTCTCTTATTACTACTATGCAAATGAAGAATCTGTGACGAGAAAATATACTTCCCCAGGGAATAAAAATTGATTCTAGTTTTTTACTTCATAGCGATTTACAAAGTATGTATGCACAGAAAGTAATCATTCTTTCTGAAAGTACATTCTGTTTTACACCAAATGGGACCACATATATCACCAAATAATTCTAGCATTTAAAGGAGAGTGCTTTAACATTATACATATTTAAAAAAAAAAATTCAGTTAAAACCTCACTTAATGGGAATCACATTAACCAGAGTTACTGTCAGAATAATAGCCTACTAGAAAGGCTCATTTTTACAGAGGCTCGCATACTTTCACAGATATATGTACCCTAGAGAAGAACATAGAGTCATATAACTGTACAAATATTTCACTAGACTGAATGTAAGGTTAAAATACGGATGTGATGCGTATCCAGTAGTTACCACTTGAACAATCTTTCTACACAAAGACCTAAGGTAAAGTGGTTGTCCACTTCGGGCCAATCTGAGAGACAGCATATTATAAGAGAGAGCACAGGTATTATAATTAATATTCTATTGATACTTTGAACTGATTCCTCTTAAAAATATCTTCAGTTCTAAACTTAATCCTGTAACACACAGTTAATAAAATTGACAATTCAAAATGAACTCATTCCTGATAAAACTAAAATTTAAAAAGGCACATGTAGGATGCTAACTAAGTATAATAATGATCCTCAAAATAGAAAAATGATATTAGTTCCATGAGCTATCCCATGACAAAAAAGATTTCCCTGATTAAAGTTTCACGTAAGTTAAGGTTCCTCTTAAAAATTCATACCACACGTGAAGGCTATAGTAAAGAAACCCTACTTAGTTTTATTTCACTCTCACTTTCCTGACATTATTTAAGCACAGAACTCTTTCTCATTTAATAATAAGCAACACTTACTGACTGCTATTGAATATCAGGCACTATCCTATGTGTTTTACATAAATTAACTTATTTAACTTCACAAGGATCCTTGTGGGTAGGAACCAGTATTACCTCATTTTACCAACAAGCAAACGAAGGCAGAAAAAGGTTAAAAAGATAGGTCGCATGGACAGTAAGTGGCAAGGCTGGGGTTAGAGCCCAGAGCAGTCTGAATCCAGTACCTGCTCTGAACCCTTAGGCTATACTGCTTCTGTGTGATACCAACTGGAACCCAGTGACTGATGCTCCCTGGAATGCTTGTTAACAAATGCTGAATATATTAATTTATATCTACACAAAAGGGAAAAAACAAAGATTACATAGAACGAACGTGTGAGAAAACAAAGATCCTAAAAATTAATTCAGTTATGTTTTCATGCTAGGACTACGAAAATTTTTTCTCCTTTAATATTTTTTTATTGCCCAATTTCCCTTAAAAAAATTAATAGTGGCAGTTAACATTTACTAAATGCTCACTATATGCAAGTACAAGGCTAAGGGCTTTCCATTCTTTGATGTGGGCCGTAGTGTGTCCATTTCACAGATGCGGAAACTGAGGCTTAGAAATCAGCAGTTCCTGGGAGCCAGCAGGTAGCGTGATTGTTAAGGGTGCTGGACTCCCACATGGCTGACCATGGTTCAAGTCCCAGACCTGGTGGCTTGCTTTCTCACTTTCTCACTCTCCCTCTTTTGCTCTCTCGCTCTGTCCCTCTAGGGTCAAACTGAAAAACGAGTAAATAAATTAATAAAGTTAAATAATTCTAAAAAAAAGAAATCAGCAGTTCTTAAAACGTAGTCCATGAGGTCAACACTATTTTCAGAGGACTAAAATGTTATTTTCCCCTTTCACTATGTTGATTTTTTGCACTGAGCACAGAAAAGCAATGGTGGTAAAACTACTGGCATCTTGGCACAAATCAAGGTACCAGTAGTACTGTGGCAGGATTTTTCACTCCGTGGAAAAAGGTCAGTTTTACTTAAGCATATCCTTGGATGGTCATCAGGCGGCGTGGTGGTTAAGATGCTGGACTCCCACGTGACGGAACGTAGTTCAACTTCCAGACCTAGCGTCTTTCTCTCTGTCTCTCTCTGGTGAGTGCACGTGCCCCATACTAAATAAATAAATAAATAAATAATACTATCTAAGCCAGCCAGTGGCATAAAGGCTTAAGGCAGTTGGATTCCACATGGCCAACTGCAAGGTTCCAGTCCCAGACCAAGTGCTTGAGGAGTTATTTCTCACTTCCCATCTCTTTCTCTGTGTCCCTCTTTCTCTCTAACTCTCAGGTGAGCTCACATGCCCTATAGCAAACTTAAAAAAGGAAAAAAAAAATCCTTGGGCAGGCCCTGTAGTCTAGTAGTTAAGGAAGCCAGATTCCATCTAACCAACTGGAGTTTGAGTCCCAGCCGCTGCAGCTTGAAAAAAAAAAGGAATCAAGCCAGACACCTGCGTATATGCCCCAAATTCTGACAGGATGGAGAAATGGACAAAGGACTGCAGCATGACCATATCTGATCAGGAGCTGGCTTTCTCCCTCCCTCTCTGTCTGTCTCTTTCTTTCTCTGGTGAGTGTACCCACCCTCTAAAAATTAAAAAGAAAAAGAATACCCTTGATGATGCAGTAAAAACTACTAATTTTAATAAATTTCAACTCATGAGTGCAGGTACTTTTAATATCGAGAGTGAAAAAAATGGAAACTGGGACCAGCAGTTAGCATAATGGCTATGTCGCTGAACTCCCACATAGTCGACTGCGGTTCGCATCCCGGACCCGGTGGCTTAAAACTCATGCCGGGCACGTGTGCGTGTGTGCCCAAGATCCCGAGAGGAGAATGGAGGAGAAGGGATTGCGGCGTGGCCATCCCCCCGGGGGGTGATTTCTCACTTTGTGTCTCTCTGTCTGTCTGGCAAGCACACGTGCCCTATAGCAAAAACCTCTCCAAAAAAAAGAAAAGAAAAAATGGAAACTACATATAGTACTTTGACTGCACCTTGGAGTACAATGGTTGCCTCAAGAAAAAGTACTAACTGGGGCCTCATGGTGACACAGTGGTAAAACATGATGCTGTATGAGGAGGATCCATGTGAGAAAGTTCTGGGTTTATCTCTGAAGACCTTGAACACACCAAGTGTGTAGGTATCCATAAGCTAGGACTGGCTGGAGCAAGGGATGGATCATGTCACAAAGGACCTGCTCGGGCTGCATATTTCTTGCTCTCTCTCGGAAGAAAAAATAAACGTTAAAAAAAAAAAAAAAAAGGTACTTATAAACTGTTTGAATCACAACCTGAATCAACTATGCTTTTTTCTTATGGAACACCATTATTACTTTAAAGAACAACTGACTGGCCAACTATGGTTGTTCAGATTTGGGGTATTTTTCTCAAAAAACTAAAGTAAGTATGCCACTTAAAGGAAAATAACTGATACAGTATTGGATGACACTGATAACTACAAAAATTACAACTTTGGACAAGTTTCTACCAGGAACTAGATACTTTCGCTCTATTTGAAAACTTTTTTGATAGGACAGGTAGTAATATTAATGGATGTGTGTGTTATTTCTTTTAATTGGCTTAAAACTTAAATCCCATGCAGGGCAAAAAGATTTAAGGTGAGGTCTGCTAGCTTTTAGAAAGGGAGATTTCTCCTATCTCATGGAGTTTCAGAGGCCAGCCCTGTCTGTCTGCCTCTCTCTCTCTGTCTTTCTCAGCAGTGTGACATGTGGATATGAAGCCTAGAACCCCCTGTTGATTATGACTCCAAGGGCAGCCTACCTCAAGATGAGCCAATACTGTACAAGGAACAGAAGAGATGGAAGAAACAAAGACACAGGTGACATAACTGAGCAGTTGTATTAACTCACTCCTAAAACCCATCCTCTCTCTGGACCTTCCAGGATAGACTTTTAATGGTTGAAAACAGTATAAACTGGGTAATACCTTATTTACAACATAAAGATTACTACATGAGGCATCCCACTAAATTAAACTTTCAAAACTGAGTGTGAATGTAGCACTTACAATTAAAGAAAAACTTTCACTGCGAAAATCTACCTTGAATTTTTACAGGTTCATGTGGAAATGGCATTATATTAAATTACCTTTTCAGTGTTCTTGTACTTTTCCCATCCTTTTAGCATTTTCAACCATTTGGTAGTTCTTTCAATTTCCAGGTGCTTTTGCTAAAATAAAATTGAAATTCATTGTTAATGTGTATTCGAATCTTCTTTACCTATAAATTACAAAAAAGAAAAAATTCAAAGAAAATGCTGCTAGAATAGGTCTGCTAAACAATATCATTTTAGATAGAAAATATCCTATCTAACTTTTTAAAAGTTGGGTCAAACTGGAATTGTATCAATAGTATTCACAGCTAAAACTAAGATTCACTGGAAATGCTCCATTTAGGTAAAAAGAGACTGTTAAAATTCCTCAATACTTAAAAACTAATGTGAAAATCTTACCCATTCTACAAATTTAAACAAAAATGAAACTTTAAAATATTTTGAGGTACTTTTTATGAAAAAAACAAAAACATGACTTCAAATTCAATTCTTACTTTTTGTATTTTTAGCACACTACTGTTTTTGGCAACAAGATTTTTTTAAGAGGAGAATTGGGTATTTCTATCTATCTATCTATCTATCTATCTATCTATCTATCTATCTATGGCATGTCATATGTACCCAGCACTATGCTAGAAAACAATTTTATAAAAATAAATAATAGTTGCTGCCCTAAGGAAAGTTCACTGTGTGCTAAGGGCAATGGACATGGAAATGCCCAGTACTGGGGCAGGTGTCCTGGTGCAGACAGGAACAGAAAGACCAAGGTCACAGTAGAAGAAACAATCAAGTCCACCTAAGTGAAGAATCAAGTCCTAAGTAAATAACTGAAAGATTACCAGGGATTTTACCAAGTGCAGTGTAAGAAATACATTATATCTGGGGTATCAGCAGTTAGTGTAATGGCTATGTCGCTGAACTCCCATGTAGCCGACCACGGTTCAAGGCCTGGACCCGGTGGCTTAAACTCACGCCGGGTGCACGTGCGTGCGTGCTCAGGATTCCGAGAGGAGGATGAAGGAGTAGGGATTATGGCATGGCCACCACCCCTCCCCGGGGATGATTTCTCGCTTTCTGTCTCTCTGTCTTTCCGGCAAGTGCATGCGCCCTATAGCAAAAAAACTCTAAAGAAAAAGAAAAAGAAATACATTATACCTGAGCTCATTCAGCACTGCTTGAGGCTGACAGCAGTTCCAAAGGGCTTAACAAAAGAAGCAGGGTACAATGACACTGCCAAAAGAGGCAGGGGCTTGATGTCACACTAAACTAAAATTTAGGGTAAAGCTGGAGAATGGGAAAGGTGAGATAGAAAATGTTATTACTCCTCACTTTTTAGTTTCCAGGAGGGTGGTTATCTTTTTTCCCTAAGTACTTGGGCCTGCAAGTGTAGTAAGCATGTGAATAAAAAGCAATGGAAATAGAAGATCACACAGAAAGGACATAGCTCTCAGGGTATATCTGATGTTCGAGGATAGATGCTCAGACAATCTCGTGAGGTAGGTATGATTATCCCCACTTTCAATAAGGAAATGGGCAAAAATAGGCTTAGGCACTTGTCCCAGTTCACCTGTCTAGTTAGCAAAGCCAGGCAGCTTGGCTCCAGGCCCTGTACTATCTGAGCCATCGCTTCTTCTATCTCTAGCTTACACGCTGTCCTCTGCCCAAGGTGAGGTGACTGCAGTTCCTGGGTGAACAACAGCTTCATTCTGACTGCATTGTCTGCAGCCCGCCCTCCACAGGCAGGCACTACGTTGGCCATGGCATATGCAAACCACCCATGTCTTTAGAGCTAAAAGAAGCATAGAAACCAAAGAAAATCCTGACTTTAAGAAAAGATTCTGACCAATGAGAATATCTTTATAGAATTTTATTTTTAGTCATGCTCTTGAAACTTTTTAATTACTTCTTACTTTTTTACATTTTTGATAGATTTTTCATAATAAGAGATAATCACTTGTGAGCAAACAATACTGCGTTATAATTCCCATTATTCAAAAAGCTAAGCAGATTCTTCATTATATTAATAGTGATAAAATGCTGCAGATGGTTTCAGAAATATGTTTAATTTTAAAACTCAGTGGGGCACCAAAATCTAATTAATGTTTCTGCTAAATGTGACTTTAGAGAAGGCCAAGCTGCAAAAAATTAAGATTGATCTAAGGTGCCATTTGGTATTTTTTTGTTCTTCTGCACTTCCTCCCCTGAGTTCTTCAAAGCATAATCCCCTTTTCTACCAACAGGAAAACACCAAATAACTCAAGCCAACCCAAGAGTATAATAACATATACTTTGCCAGGAACAATCCTGCTGAGATCTCACAGGTCTCTTGATATTTTTCATTTTTATGACTATGAATTTTCAACAAATCACTTTAGGAAGTACACAGTAATTCTTTTTTAAGACACACTTCGGTGTTCTAATGCTTAGCATATCATTTTAAATGTTATACATTCTCATACTGCAAGGACAGTACACACACAATTTTAAAAAACATTAAGTGTGCTTTTCTTTCCCCAGCTAAAATACACATACACACACATATATACAGATGTGCACACACACACTCTTGGGAAAAGTTCCCAAGCTATAGTATAGTATTTTTTTTTTGGGGGGGGGGTTTGCTATAGGGCGCGTGCACTCGCCAGAAAGACAGAGAGAGACAGAGAGACAGAGAGACAGAAAGCAAGAAATGCCTCCACGGAGGGGATGGCCATGCTGCAATCCCTTCTCCTCCATTCTCCTCTTGGGATCTTGGGCACGCATGCACACATGCCAGGCGTAAGTTTAAGCCACTGGGTCCAGGACTCGAACTGTGGCCAGCTACATGGGAGTTCAGGGACATAGCCATTACACTAACTGCTGGTCCCCCAAAGCTATAGTATTTTTAAATTACTTACTAGTAGTTCAATCAGTGTTAAATGTTAACTCTATAGTTAACATTTAGTTAACTATCAGTTCTACTACATCAGACTTCAATGCACATGAATGTTTTTCCCCCTGACTCATGAGTCTGCAATTCATGGATAAATGTATTTTCTCACCAAATGTGATGAAGCTACTATTCTAGTAATCATCTTGAAGTAAGACGCAACTGGAAAACATGTTACAAATATGAACTTAAATGCCCTAGAAAAGTAGGCTAAGGAACACCATCTGCCCAGACTCAACAATACCAAGACAAAACTAGAATATGACAGTGTGTCAGAATCTCCAAAGTTCTACAGATACTTTAGACTCAACCTATCTAAAACTGTTTCCCCAAACATACTGCTTCTGTATTACCCTCCTGCTCTGTGACATGAATTAACAGTATCACTCCCCACTAAGTCAATCAAACTAGAACCTTGAAGGTGTTTCACATCTTCCTTCATCTTACATTGCACGCCCAAACTATACTTTGCTGGTCCCTTGCTCGTGCTTCCATGATGTCCTTTGACCTAATTCAGGTAATCATAGTTTCCGCATGAAAAGATCTCCTAACTAGGACCCCTGTCTTCAATCTCGCCTATACACTGCTACCACAACTTTTAAAACATGCCCCAGTTTGAAATCCTTCAATGACTACCTATTACCTGAACAAAGTTCATTCTTAACACAGTGCACATGGATGGTCCGGTCCTTCACATATAGCCTCAATTTATCTTCCAGATGTATTCCTGCTACTTTTATGACTGGACCACCTTGACCCATCTGTCATTCCCAACACACGATGTTTTTCATGCCTCTCTGATCAACGTTTGCTCTCTGTCTGCCTGTGATGCTCTTTCTCACCATCATCTGGCCACATCCTATGCTTTATCTAGACTCGGGTAAGGGCTGACCACGTAGTCTAGTAGTTAAGGGAGTCAGATCCCACATGGCTAATTGCAGGGTGTGAATCCCAGCCCTACAAGCTTGAAAAATGTACTGGGTGTTATGTGTGCATATCCCAAATACTACAGAATAAAGAAATGCTAGAGAAGGGATTGTAATCTGAGCACACATCATTGGAAGGGGTACTTTCTCCTTTTCTCACTCTTTCTCTTCTGTCTCTAGCAAACACACACATCCCTCTGGCAAATTTAAAACAAACAAACAAAAAAGGAAATACGAATTGAAAACAAAAATACTCAGGGCAAATATTTATCCTTTCTAGCCTTCCCCTCTTTTGAGATCATTGGTTGTAAGGATTATTTTGTTCAGTGTATTATAATCCATTACCATCACTATTCTTTTTGAAGCCAAAAGTGTCTGATTAGGCCAGCCTGCTCATTAGAGATCTCTTCCCTATAAAGGGGTCCTTCTGGTATGTCCTGTGATACCTTTTATCACTTTGTTTTCTGCCACAAAATGGTTCTGGGCCACCTTATACTTTCCATATCCCACACCTGGAATCAGGCATTACTTTAAGAACCCATGGCTCTTTCCAATGTGGAATGGTATTCAAAACCCAAGGTCAGGGTACCAGTTGTGCTCTTCACTGCAGTTTTTAAACTGTATAGCATACGCTGACATAAGAAAATTCTACTCCTCTCAGAATGAATGTCGAGACAACACATATGTAAAGGAAAATAACACAGAAGTCTTAACTGTCATCCTCTGTTCCTTCTGTTATCTCTCCATTAATGTTACCAGCTAAGAAAACAAAATATTATTGTGTACTTTTCTTCCCATAGCTGTTTTCAGTGAAGAACTAAACTTCTATTCAAAGTTTACTACATGATACTCTACTGTCTTAAGTTGATTTCACCCCCAATTCAGAATTGGCCTCTCTTATTCAAGCAAGGAGGGTTTAAGGAGTAAAACCAGAACTGGTATCTTGTTACTTCTCAACCTCCAGTGATCTGACACCAGAAAGAGAGATATACTTTTAAAAATTGGTTTATTTTTTAATCACTATGGAGAACACACATCAGAAAGAGAGGGATAGAAGGAAAGAGGGAGGGTGGAAAGAAAGAGGAAAGAAAGAAAGCACCCTTCGCAGGGCTCCGACACGCTGGGTTCCCCTTCCTCTAGTCCTTTAGTCAGCCAGGATCCTGGACACAAGTGCGTGCACTCATGTTCTGCAGGCCTATTAGGCCAGGACCTCAAACCACAGTCAACACGTGGCTTCCAGCTCCACCGTTGAATATACTGAG